AAACACAATATCACTTCACATAATTAATTTTTTACTTCAAGTTATGAAGTGCTGACATAATGAAAGGATGTATTTACTTCATGTAATGCAGCATTGGCATGATGTTAAGATATTTTACATCATCTCATAAAAAATTGACATAACGTAAAGATATGTTCACATCACGTAATGATATATTGACATAATAAATGCATAGTTGTATGCTATAAGGCAGTGATGGCGTTCCATACAGAGACATACAGTCCCTATTATAGCTTCATGAAATTAACTTGTAATAATCATACCGATATTTTTTCTTTAAAAAATATCTAGGTTATTACATACGCACCTTATTTCCTCCAAATCAGTCTAGCAGAGTGGAATCAGGGGCTTTATTTAACTAGCAGTGCATACAGAGCACCTTGCATGACAACACTGTAGCTCAAATGTCAAGGTCACATAAAGAGTAGAGCTAAAACTTTATTTTCGTATAAACTATTATTTCTTTATTCAAAGTGAAATAAATGAAGTTTTGTCTATTACTTTCATTGAAGTAAAAATGACTGTTTTTTTCAATCATGTTGGATTTCTGTTTGCCTTTTATTTTTGTTCTCAGTAAGGGGGAATCCCAAGTAGCTTAGTGTATTCAAAATGGCGACGGATGAGTGGAAGCACTGTGCTGACTGGCTAGTTCGATGTAACATTTTACCCGAAGAACACAGAGCAACACAAGCTAATGCCAGTGCATTTGACTTAGCTCAGGCTTTGCGAGATGGAGTACTTATATGTCATTTGTTGAACAACCTGTCTCCAGGCTCGGTGGACTTGAAAGACTTCAGCCAGAGACCTCAGTTATCACAGGTTTGTATGGATTCTGTACATTTATGGAACGTTTTCTCTTTTTATCTAACATAATGTATACATTTGTGGGGCATAGAAAATCTACTGAGTTTTATTTATGGTAAATTTGATTGAATTTAAGTTGCTATATGGCATATCTATGAAGTAGAATAATAGTGATCGGTTACTTCCTAGTTGAGTGGAGTGGGTTTGTATATCGCACCTGATCGAGGATTTTAATTTACATCCTTATCCTGTCGGTAGCAGTTTGGTTGATAAACAGAAGCGCGATAAGGAAAAACGGTTTTGATAATGAACTTGAACTTGAACATTATAATTTAATGAAATTATATTGAATTTCTTTTAACTTTTAAATGCAATCCCATTACTTTTTGTGGTGCAGCATAATATCTGAAAATTAATCCTTTACAAAGCTTTCTTATTTTGAGTTTGCAATGACATTTCAGGCACTTCAATCCATACACTTGTAGCATAATGAAATTTTTAAGACGTAGCTGATTTTCATGTTTTAACTCAAGTACAAATCTGGCGGAATTAAACTGGAGTTTCAGACTTTTTTGTTTTTCAGTCAAACAGTCTTGTCAATCAAACAGGGGATTTAAAGTAATTTTGCAGAAAAGTTTACAGAAAAGCATGTTGATTTCATTAATTTAAAAAAATACTTGTGGAAAAACTATATATTTCTCTAAAGATTTTTTTTTTCTCTTTTCAGTTCCTCTGCTTGAAGAATATTAGAACTTTTCTACAGACATGCCAAACACATTTTGGTTTAAGTCCAAGTGATTTATTTGACCCATTGGATTTGTTTGAGGTCAAAGATTTCAGAAAGGTAGGTCTTCAATTAAATCTAGAATTTATCATCTTTATGAACAGAAATGTAATAAAATATTCTATAATACATATTAGCAAGCTTGGTAATTCTTAACAGAATAATATTTTTTCAATTTTCATTCCTTTATGAAGTGCTACGGTCATACTCAAATGCATGTATATATAATTTTCAGGTTTTAAATACACTGTCAAAGTTATCAAAGACACCGATTGCCAGAAGAAAATGCAGGTATTGGATTTTCTTTAAAGTTGTATAATACCTACAAACATTAATTTTGATGAATTGATACAACATATTTCTTTCAAGGAGAAAGAGATAACTGAATGTTGAAGTTTTTTTTTGGGGGGGGGGGGTTATTCACATAATATCAGAATATATATATACATGTGCTCATACTATTTATTTTTTCCAATGACAGCAAAACTCAATACCTATTATTCATACTGGAATAGAAAATTTTGATAATTAGATTCCGTAGAGATTCATGCGATTTGTAAAATGACTTCTGTTTTAGTGGTTTTAATGCTCCCTCACCACGTTCCGTTGATCATGAATATTACAATTCTTTAGAAGATTTAGCAAAGTGAGTAATAAAAAAATGGCAAATGGCATGTGACTCTTGTGGAATGCTTCCTTGTGGTTTAAAGTTTTGCCAAAGATCCATGTCATGCTCACAGATATGGGCATGCTAGTAGTTCTCATAGCACCTCTTTGCTACTCTAGAATTGACATTTAACTCCAGGTGAAATTACTATCATATATCATGTATTTTCACAACACCAGATTAACACAGTCAGTATCACAATGTGAATCTTTCTACAGTACACAATACAAATATTTAATTACTGAATTCACAGAACTTGAAAATCAAAGCAATAGATAGAGAATCAAGTCCAGAGATAGATACATGTATTCAATTTTTGTTGTAGTAGAATGTAAACTAATTTTTAATAAAATTAATTGCCCTTGTTATGATTTTTTTTTCATTATGGTAAAAAAAAAGGTTATTAACTTTAGAAACTAATCACAGATTTTAGCTCATGAAAGCTTTATTATCATTTTACATGCACTTTTAGTCAGCAATGACAGCTAAGTTTTTACTGGTCTACATAAAAATCTGTCAAAGAAAACAGATCTATACAACTCAAATGTTTTTATAATTTAACAATATAAGAAAATACACTTTATCCTTCTATTGGTATGAATGTATATACAGTGATAGAATGACAACATATGAGATAATAGTACAGTAAATTAATATCATAAAACTTAGGTTAGAGTAAAAAAATGGAAGCCTGATGTACAGGTAAAGCATATCCATAAAAAACACACATAAAGCCTTAAACCAATCTTCAAGGTTTCAGTATTTTTCTTACACCTGGCCAGGAACTTGTAGGACTAGCTAGTGTTGTTTAGGGGTGCAGGCATGCGGTGCTTTTTGACTCTGCTTGAATCATTTTTGTAGTGGCTTTCCTCCCGAGCAGACCACACCCCACAGACCCTCCCGCAGGTACACCGACGAGGACGAGGATATCTATGGGAATCTGCCCGACCTGGCTCTGTAAGTACAGTAGGGAATCTCCACAACCTGGCTTTGTAAGTACTGAGTAGGGAGCATTACAGAGGGAATCTCCTCGACCTGGCTTTGTAAGTACTGAATAGGGAATCTCCCTGACCTGGCTTTGTAAGTACTAAGTAGGGAGCATTACAGAGGGAATCTCCCTGACCTGGCTTTGTAAGTACTGAGTAGGGGGCATTACAGAGGGAATCTCCCTGACCTGGCTTTGTAAGTACTGAGTAGGGGGCATTACAGAGGGAATCTCCCCGACCTGGCTTTGTAAGTACTGAGTAGGGAGCATTACAGAGGGAATGTCCTCGACCTGGCTTTGTAAGTACTGAATAGGGAATCTCCCTGACCTGGCTTTGTAAGTACTGAATAGGGGGCATTACAGAGGGAATCTCTCTGACCTGGCTTTGTAAGTACTGAATAGAGGGCATTACAGAGGGAATCTCCCTGACCTGGCTTTGTATGTACTGAAATAGGGAATCTCAGCAATCTGGCATTATAAGTACCGAGTAGCGGGCATTACAGAGGGAGTCTCTCCACCTTGCTTTGTAAGTACTGAATAGGGAGCATTACATAGGGAATCTCCCTGACCTGGCTTTGTAAGTACTGAGTAGGGGGCATTACAGAGGGAATCTCTCTGACCTGGCTTTGTAAGTACTGAATAGGGGTCAGTACAGAGGGAATCTCCCTGACCTGGCTTTGTAAGTACTGAGTAGGGGGCAATACAGAGGGAATCTCCCTGACCTGGCTTTGTAAGTACTGAGTAGGGGGCATTACAGAGGGAATCTCCCTGACCTGGCTTTGTAAGTACTGAATAGGGGTCAGTACAGAGGGAATCTCCCTGACCTGGCTTTGTAAGTACTGAATAGGGATCTCCCAGACCTGGCTTTGTAAGTACTGTATAGGGCCAATTACAGAGGGAATCTCCTTGACCTGGCTTTGAAAGTACTGAATAGGGGGCATTACATAGGGAATCTCCCTGACCTGGCTTTGTAAGTACTGAATAGGGGGCATTACAGAGGGAATCTCCCTGACCTGGCTTTGTAAGTACTGAATAGGGGGCATTACAGAGGGAATCTCCCTAAGCTGGCCTTGTAAGTACTGAGTAGGGATTGTTACACAGGGAATTTCACTGGACTGGCTTTACAATATACTGTATGTCAAAAGTTGACAGCATGTTAAAGTTTCTACATGTAGTATGTTAATCCATTACGATATGTTGTGATTGTTCATTGGAGAGTTTTTAGTACATGTATATTAAACATTTATGGTATGTTCTGATTTTTCAGTGGAAAGTAATGATAAATTTTTATGGAATGTTCTGATTTTACTTTAGTCAGGTCCAATTGATAAGACTATGGAGAAAAGTTTTGTTTCTACAGGAAATATTTTTTCATTAGTGGGAGTATATGTGACTAATTCTTCCAGTATAGATATATAAATCATACAATCAGTACTGAAGAAAGAATTTTAGCTTTCATATTGTGACTGTTCAGTAAAATTTGTCTAGAGACACATGCAATTCTCCTTGTGCATTTCACACATGTAATTACAAAGTGATCAGAGATGAGCAGTATTTATAGATAAATATTTTTTGTTCTGTAAGATACATGGTAAGATTTGTTTGGTACAGGGATGTTGTGTTTCTTTAATAACTTGTTTACGGAATCTGATCGAATTGAATATACCCCTGAACAGGAACCATGAAATGCCAGATGAGTATAGCCTATTGTCTACTCAGGATGAAGATGAAAAAATCTATCAAGATCTCTGCTCTCTTAAACCGAGCGACCATCAGGTACAGAGTCATGTGACTTTGATATGTGTCACATGACTTCCTGTTTCAGATGTTGTTCTACACTCCCCTTCAGTTTATGTCAACTTTGGTATCATTTTTGTTGATGTTTCAATCGTTGTGTTTGTTGTTTTGTAAAAGTTGTTTCATTTGTTATTTTTTTTTGTTTATGAGACACAGGTATGTCATTACTGGTGCAGTTATTTGCATATTTGTAGTTGGAAGAAAGATATTTATAAAGTTATGCTTACATTCTTCTGCAATAGTGTTAACGCAGATTTTATTTTCATGACCAAAGTATTATTTTAACTGATCATTTTACTTGACATGAATCTTAATTCTGACTCACCAGTAATGAATCTTTTAAGAGCACTTGTTTTATGTTTTGACCATGGTGCTTTATTTTGGACCCAGCATGCAATTATATTTTGTTTGGTTGATAGACGTCATGACCTTGATGATAATGAAGAAATCTACGATCACGTGTATCAGGAAGATGATGATGAAATTTATGAAGATCTATGTAGACGGAGACATAGAAGGGAGTCTAGTGTAAGATACATAATCCCATTATTATTCATTTTCTTGGAGATTTTGATTCTTTGCCAGACTTTATCTATATTGAAAAAAGCATATCTGCACATGATTCAAAAATTGAATTGATAAGTATAAGCATATAAACATGATAAAATCAGGCTTACTAGCCTATTTCATAAGTGTTTTTTTTTTTTTTAGTTGGACATATTGTATAAATATAAAACATGAAAGAAACTGTTTAAGAAGATACTCAGTTCTTGCTGAAATAACAAAATTAAAAGTTGTAGTAATTCATTAGCCTTTTAAAATTTTAAAATAATAGTATATACCGGTACATTTAAAAAAAATGAAACAAATAGATAAAAAAAAATAAAGCTAAAAAAATAGATTTACCGGTAAAAAACCATTAGGAAAAATATAAAAATAATGCAAACAAGAAAAACAGGAATAAAACAAAAGATAGATCGGTTAATATTCATATAATAAAAAATAAAAGAAATATTTTAAAAAATCAATTGGAAAACCAGGGTTTATTAGATACATGTATATTCATTTCTTTTATTTTCCATTTCTTGTGTATGTTTCCTAATTTTTGTTGTAGTAAATGTAATATTGAAAGTGATTCGATCTGATTTATACCTGTATGTGACTGTGTAATATGAATGTCAGTGTATACAGTATACAAACTCTTAAGAATCCAGTATCCAGTTTGTTACTTCATAATGTAAAATAATTTGCATTGTTTTAATACAAGTTCATTAAAGAGTGTTAGTGTTTTAATATGAGTATGTTATAGAGTGATAAGGCCATCCTTAAAAAATTGTTTGTTTGGCATTGCCGCCTGGAGGGTTTCAGACACAGGAGGGAGGGAGGGAAATTATTTTTTTTTTTAAATTGAAGATAAATTATAAATTTTTGATAAAAATCTCAGAACAAAAATACCTAATTTTACATAGATCTGACACTACATTTCAGTGTTTTGTATGGTGCGTGTGATACATGTAATGGGCAAAAAAAAAATTGATTAAATTAAAAAAAAATCTTCCTACTTTTGGTCAATAAAATTTTTTCAGGAGGGGGGCATTTCAATGAGGCGGGAGGCAATTCCAAACAAACTATAATTTTATTTTGGCCTAACAAAGAAAAAATGTACTGGGTACACTAGAATGTCATTTCTTTTGTGTGTATACTGTAGGTCTCTGAACTACCACCTCCTGTCACAAAACGGGACTTCTGTATAAAAGAACTCCACGATACAGAGAAAAACTATGTAGAGGCATTGCGAATGATTCAAACTGTACGTATCTAGAACTTGTTATCATATTCACATGTATCAAGATGTAAGATATTATCAATCCAGTCGTTAAATGTTTACCAACTTATTTTTTATCTCTTTGTTCTTTCAGCATTTCATTAAACCTTTAAGAGACATTATCCCTCCTGCTGACAGAGATGTTATTTTTGCACACATAGAAGTACGTTGATTTTAATTCAGAACAATATTTTTTATCGTTTATAACAATGCAACCTGTTAAAAACATTGTTTAAATTTTCTATTTATTTTTTATAATTTTTTCAGAAACTATTGGAAATTCATAAGAAATTTCAGCTGGAATTACAGGAAGCTTGTGTGATGGGAAATAAAAAAATTGGTGAAGTGTTTGTGAAATATAAGAAGAGCTTGCTTTTGTATGGTAACTATTGCTCAGACATGCCTAAGGCCCAGGAAAAACTGGAGGATGTGTTAAAAAGGAGTGAAAACATCAGAACACAAATAGAGGTGAATAATAGTGAAGATATTCCGAGGGGACCATACACCACTGCTGGATGTGGATTCTTCTTATGTTAGGGTGTACTCCATACTGAGAAATTCAGTCTGCTTGTGTGTTTAGGGTGTACTCCATACTGAGAAATTCATTCTATGCTCGTATTAAGGGTGTACTCGATACTGAGAAATTCAGTCTGTGTTTGTTTTAGGGTGTACTCCATGCTGAGAAATTCAGTCTGTGCTTGCATTTAGGGTGTACTCTATACTGAGAAATTCAGTCTGTTTTAGGGTGTACTATATACTGAGAAATTCAGTCTCTTCTTGTATTTAGGGTGTACTCCATACTGAGAAATCCAGTCTCTGCTTGTGTTTAGGGTGTACTCTATACTGAGAAATTCAGTCTGTTCTTGTATTTAGGGTGTACTATATTCTGAGAAATTAATGATGTTTAGAGAAAGAATGAAGTAGCTGAAATTTGTTTAGCAGCAAGAACTACATGTACATACAACATTGTACAAATGTGGGTGAATCAAGTATGAGTTATGTTCCTTTGGTCTCAAAACCATAAATCATGGAATATTCTGTACATGCAGTGCAGCTTTTAAAAGATTAGAATGTAATGTTACAACATGAAGCAGACATTTTTTTTTGGTTGATATTTCAGGCATGTGAAAAGAAAGCGAATGAAGGTAAATTTAAACTGAGAGATTTGCTCCATGTGCCAATGCAGAGAGTATTGAAGTACCATTTATTATTAAGGGTATGTGTCAAATTTCATGTTGAGATCAATTCAAATGTATTCTAAATTCAGAACTTACTGTTATATTAAGTGTTTTGGTAATATTTCACAAATAATAAGGCATAATGTTTATTTTTCAGGAGTTAATAAAGCAATCAGGGAAAACTGCGGAAGATAAAGATTCACTTCAGGAGGGCCTGGAGGCCATGATGGTGAGTACAACTTCAATCCATGTTCTATTTATAGAAATCACATGTCTGTAGAATTCTAGGGTCAAGTTAGTCCTATAGTTCATGAACTTATTATAGCATTAAATTTCATTTAGAAAAGCAGAATTTGTAAAGGATCTTTATTACCAATTATTGAGAATTTATGGATATTTCAGGATTTATCATTGTATGTTAATGAAGTAAAGAGAGACAATGAGACCTTACAGCTAATCAGTGAAATACAGGCCAGGTAATCATCTTTTTACTCAGCAGTCAGTACCATTATGTTTAATTCATTTCTCTCAATGAATGCATTTCACAAGTATAATGTATATGGATATAATGTGTATGTTCTGATGTGTTCTAACTTATTTTTTCAGCATTGGAGACCTTCAAATGGTATGACCACTTGTTTTCTATGCAATTTGGTAGATCCTGATTAAGTTATAAATAGCTCACCAGTAGATTAGTTCAATGAGTTATAAATAGTTCATCAGTAGATTAGTTCTATAAGTTATAAATCAGTAGATTAGTTCAACAATACATGTGAATCAGAAATCTGTAGATCATATAAATCTAGCACAAACTGTTACATTTAAACAGTACCTACCAAAAACTGTGAGTTTCAACTTGTTTATCATGTTTATAGTTTGTGTGATTTTTTTTTTTTACCAAAATATTGCCAATACCTAAGCCTGCCAAATATGTAGAAGAGAATATACTGTGTAATGATATTAGATTTGTTAATGCATCCGATAAAGTTTGCAGATATAGAACAGACACTGCGTATTAGCTGAAATGTGAATTTCTGTGTAACTATATACATGTATATTCCCATTACCTTTGTCTTTGCAATAATGGAAATCAAATGCCCATTTATTAGAAAAATAAAAATAAAATATTGCATGGAGTTGTAAAACATGCCTTTAACAGATTTAGCTACTTATCATTATGTAATAGTCTCGAATGAAAAGCTGTGTACTGCTTTATTTTTTAAAATTAAAACTTTTTTTTTTTTACCTTTAAGTATTTTCTACCTATAAGCAATGTTATGCAGTCCAATGTAGTTACTGTAATTTTACTATAAATATGTTCAAATAAAATCCATTAAAAAGTGTGGAATTTAAAAAGAGGTCATCTTAAGTTCAAGTTAGGCATGTTTTCATCTGTTTTAAAGTCAACTTTGATATATTTCTTTAGCCTGCCAACACTACATTAAAAGATTATGGCAGACTTCAGAAGGATGGAGAATTAAAAGTAAAAAACCACACAGATAATAGAGTCAGAATTAGGTAAGTCATAAAAACCAGACAGATAATAGAGTCAGAATTAGGTAAGTCATAAAAACCAGACAGATAATAGAGTCAGAATTAGGTAAGTCATAAAAACCACACAGATAATAGAGTCAGAATTAGGGAAGTCATAAAAACGTATTTTATGAAATGAACCACCCCCCAACCCCCCAACCCCCCCAAAAAAAACAAACAAACAAAAAAAACAAACAAACAAAAACAAAAAACCCACAAGGATGATAATCCTGACATAACACCTTAGCTGCAGTTTGTAAACTTTCAATCAAGGCTTAGTTACGTAGAATTGTTGAAGTCATGTCTGTGAAGTTGATGGATATAGTATTGGGTTTCAGCACTATAATTACATATCATTATTATATTGTTATTATTCATTTATCAGGAAGAGAAAGTGACTTGTGCGAGTTTTTTGTTTTATAATGTTCATCTGATTATTTGAATACTTTCTTCTTTCTTTGACAGGTACATATTCCTCTTTGACAAAGTCATGCTGATGTGCAAGGCAAGGGTAAGTGGAATGTTTCTCTGTTATAACAAGACTTTATATTCTATGCACATCAGAAGAAATATAATAGGATTAGAAAGCTAACTGCATATTGAAGATCATCACATGTTGTTATGTACTATACATAGAGAGCAAAGGATTATTTCATTATACATTGTTATATTGTATTGTTCTGTGAGTGAGACATGATATTTTTTATGCATGAATTATTTGTTGTGCATTTTTTAATTGTTGTCCAGAAATGTTGTTAGGTTGTTTCATTTGTGAATGATTTTTTTTCATTATTAAGCAGTATCTATTTTTAGTGGATTTATTTGTTATTAATATAAATTTACATAAAAAAGGAAGTTATTTTTTGATAAATAAGGAAATTCACTGAAATAATAACTACTTTGCACAATCTACTAGCTCTGATTTCATTTAGTTTGTTTCATGGATAGAGAGATAGGAAGGAGAGAAAATCATAATACACTCACTTGTACAATTCAGCATTAAATGACACAACTTTCTTGGTTCATATCCTGAAAAAGACTGAAATTATAGAACACCTTGTTACGTATGACAAAGTTTGATTTTTGGGAGGGTTTTTATTCCTTGCTAACATTAAATTGATTCTTTTCATTATGTGCTTTTCCCCAGATGGTGGATCGTTTATTTTCGGTAAGAAATTATCTGTTGTAGCAAACTATATACTGAATGACCAGCTGATCTAAACTGTATCCAAACTCTAAATCGTGTCAACAACAAGGTGATGTGATTTAAATGACGGGAATTCCTTGTTAGAGTGGAGAAGGCTCATTTTAAATGTGTAACAAAACTTAAGTGTCTACTTATATTGCCTTTTATAGAATGTTCATCCTCATTTAATTACAGTTATTTTTTTGGAATGTTTTTATCTTTTGATTTTGAGCATTAGACATATAATTCTTTTTCTTCTTAAATCTTGTAAGACATTTGTTATAAAATTAGACCAGTCACATCACTTTAACTGATTACCATTGATCAGTACAGTAGCAGTGAACATGATACTAACTGGCATGGCATGTCATGAATGAAATCATCTTTCCCAGTCATATGGAATAAAACCTTTAACCAAGGAAAAAGGGGAACCAATCAATGGAAAAAGTGGGTTATTTTACACCACCCTGTTTCCCAGACATTCTGTTTGAACATTTCAGTGAATCATTGAGATCCTCTCAATTAAATGTCTAGTAATACAGATATATTAATAAAATGGTGAAAATTGAGATCCAAGGCAAAACATACAGCAATAGATTGTGGATGTGAGTCTTATCTTTATGGCTTACATCTGACACAGATATTTTATTCCTTTAAATGAGGAAAAGTATAGAAAGACCCTAACTTTAACAGGTTTTACTTAGCCTAAATTATTAGATGATATTGCAATTGTTTAAGTTTACACAGGTAAGTTTTTATTTTTAATTTTGCATAATCAGGTTTATTTAATATTGTAATTTTTTATTTTGCAAGCTTTTCTTGGTTTAAAATATATATGAATGTTGTATGCTTTTTTAAATGCATGATTTACCTTTTACCTCGATAATAATAAGCCTTGCTGTATTATAGATAAATGCCATTCATTTCCATGTTTCAAATCCATTCATTTCTAGTGGTGGATATACATGTATGGGTATTTTGTTTTTTGTATGACACCAGTTTTATTGGTATCGTCATGGTTTGGGTGAATTAGAGGAGTTGGTGCCCAGAATCCTGCCTATGATTTTAGATTTTAAACTCTCACTTTGTTGAAAATAAAAATGTAGAGAAAAAAAGACACAAAACAGAGTGTCAAAACTCTTTCTTTTGATTTCATTACTTGTATGAAAATTATTTCAAGTTTTAATTACACTTAATTCATCTAAAGTTGGTGAAGATATACTGATATTGTCTGTATGTCTATCCATCCAACTTTCCATCTTTATACCTGTATTTCTTTCAATGCATAATTCAAAACATTGTTTAGTTCAGGTAATAATATTAAAACTTGCATATAACTAGATGTACAGTAGCTGGATGCTAGGACTTTCTACATTTTAGGTTGGAGTGACTTGTGTTTTATTCCTTGTATAGATATTGTTTGTGCAAGTATATAAACCAAACTTGCTAATACATGTTTAGTACAATGTATATTTGTTCCTATGCTGCATTGGCCTTATATTATAAGGTTCAGAAGAGTTGAGAATACTCATCATTAAGGTTTTTTCGTGGCTAATCAAATGTGGTATTCAAACCAAACTTGCATAATTATTTAGGATTGTTACAAAACTGCAGATGTGTGTCATGATATGTCATGATACATTGTAACTGTATCATGATATGGATTGCAATGTTTCACATTCCATCTTTAGATATTTATGTATTCTGATACTTGCTTTACGTGCTACAAAGTTGAAGAGAGAATAGTACTTCTTTTTAAGCTGAATCTGATGGGTTAGCATTTCAACACAGTTTAATCATTTAAGATCATCATTAAGTATTTCTGTATCTCTTCACAGAAATGTATGTTAATACCATATACTGATCCCTGCTTCTTGTGTATTACAGGGGGAATCTTACAGTTTTAAAGAGGCCATCATTCTGGCAGTGTATAAAGTCCATGATCAGCAGCCTGCCAACAGGGAAACCCAGCGACGCGGGGAAAAGGTAGTGTACAACACAACGTAACAGGTGGGGGGGAAACCCAACGTCGTGGGGAAAAGGTAGCGTACAACACAATGTAACAGGTGGGGGGAAACCCAGCATCGCGGGGAAAAGGTAGTGTACAACACAATGTAACAGGTGGGGGGAAACCCAGCGTCGTGGGGAAAAGGTAGTGTACAACACAATGTAACAGGTGGGGGGAAACCCAGAGTCGCAGGGAAAAGGTAGTGTACAACACAGTGTAACAGGTGGGGGAAACCCAGAGTCGCAGGGAAAAGGTAGTGTACAACACAATGTAACAGGTGGGGGGAAACCCAGCATCGCGGGGAAAAGGTAGTGTACAACACAATGTAACAGGTGGGGGGAAACCCAGAGTCGCAGGGAAAAGGTAGTGTACAACACAGTGTAACAGGTGGGGGGAAACCCAGAGTCGCAGGGAAAAGGTAGTGTACAACACAGTTTAACAGGTGGGGGGAAACCCAGCATCGCGGGGAAAAAGTAGTGTACAACACAATGTAACAGGTGGGGGGAAACCCAGAGTCGCAGGGAAAAGGTAGTGTACAACACAATGTAACAGGTGGGGGGAAACCCAGAGTCGCAGGGAAAAGGTAGTGTACAACACAGTGTAACAGGTGGGGGGAAACCCAGCGTCGCGGGGAAATGGTAGTGTACAACACAATGTAACAGGTGGGGGAAACCCAGCATCTCGGGGAAAAGGTAGTGTACAACACAATGTAACAGGTGGGGGGAAACCCAGCATCGCGGGGAAAAGGTAGTGTACAACACAATGTAACAGGTGGGGGGAAACCCAGCATTGCGGGGAAAAGGTAGTGTACAACACAATGTAACAGGTGGGGGGAAACCCAGCATCGTGGAGAAAAGGTAGTGTACAACTCAATGTAATAGGTGGGGGGAAACCCAGGGTCGCTGGGAAAAGGTAATGTACAACACAACGTAACAGGTGGGGGGAAACCCAGCATCGCGGGGAAAAGGTAGTGTACAACACAATGTAACAGGTGGGGGGAAACCCAGCATCTCGGGGAAAAGGTAGTGTACAACACAATGTAACAGGTGGGGGGATTGTACACATCCAACACAATGTAACAGATGGGAGGGGGACATAGAACACATCCAACACAATGTAACAGATGGGAGGGGGGCATAGTTAATATGTTCCTGATTTGGACATTTGTGATCTATGGCCTACTTTGAGCATTTATACAAAAAACATGAATACAAAAATGGAGTAAATATTTAAACAGAACGGATAGTTCAATTAAAGTTTATACATTTACAAATAATGAACATCAGGGTTTTATAATGATATACAGAGCTTGCTCATTTTCAATTGAATGTCATTGCAATGAATTTGAAAACGTAATACATTGTATATCATGGTAAGGTTTGTAATTTTCTTTGTAGTGGACCAGTTCTTTTATAATGGCTAAGAAAGATGGCTCAAATGCATTTACATTCTTTGCCAAAACAGAGGACACAAGGGCTAAATGGATCGATGCAATAAAACTGGCATTGTATGTATTTAAAGACCACTTATCTTTAAAAAAATCAGCAGATTGTTTTTAGGTGCAGTTTATATCTCAACATTTTGATTCATTAATACTAAAAGTATGGTTTAAGTTTGAGATCTGGATAATAGTAATGTGTCAAGAAATTAACCATTTTCTAGATCCCCTCTTTTTTAAATATCTGTTAATGAAAACATAATTATTTACAAATTATGTAAAATGATGCAATTCAAAGGTAGCGGCACCAGCTATTAAACTTCTTCAAAGGTACTTGGACACAGATTTAATTTAATTTTTGTGTGAAATGCTTTTAAAATATATGTCGTAATATTATAAAGAAAATATTAACTTCAAATCTTGTGTCCAAGTACCTTAATAAAATGCAAATTGTGCTTGCTGCAGGTAAATTAAAACTAAAAAGATAGTAACATGTTATTACATGTATCTCTTGCTTAATTATGGATTTGATTTTTTTATTAATAAAGTATTTAGAGCACTTTTAAATGCTAATTAATCATTGATTAGATTATTGTTTGGCAAAATAAATGACCTCTTTAGCAAATACAGTGTACCTTCAGATATCCGGACGCCAGATATCTGGATTTTTAAATGCTATTTTGTCTCGTTTAACTGGTAATTCAGATATCCGAATACTTCACATATCCGGACAAATTGACTAGGAACCAAAGCGTCCAGATAAATGAGGGTCCACTGTACATGTATGCCCCATCATTGGGACATATTTTGGCTGATGTTTCATACCATTTGATAAGCCTTTGTTTTTATACTGAATTCAACTAAGAGATGTTCTGTGTACCTGATCATTACATATGGCTCATGGCTGTTGTGACCGGTCAATGGGGGAAGCTTAATCCTCCTTGGCACCTGATCCCACCTCTGAAATATCCAGGGTCCATGATTTTTGCCCTGTTTACAGATTTTTGAGATTTATCACATTTCATTTTATTTGCCTTTGGCATGTTAACTAGGAAAAAGATTTCCCCTAAGAAAATTCCCTTTTCTTTTGCTCTTGTATCAAAGAAAGTTGTGGAAAATTCAAATTGTTCAGAAATATGTGAACAATTTCTTCCAATTTCAGAGAGAATGCTTCCCCTCCACAAGGGATAAATTATGTGATGCACACGTTTGATAAGCCTACGGAATGTAGTGTGTGTCATAAACTTCTGAGGTAAGAATCCTAGACAGCAAATTAACCGTATACTTAGATCTCTATACAATTTGTCTAAGAGCTATTCATAACTGGTCAAAACAGTTATTATTTTAAATAATAATCATAAAGCTGTATACTGGAATTAATAGGGACAAAAGGCTTTTGTAATGTTTACTTTTAATGACTTATGTCTGTTTTATATGTATATTTTTGATCACTTTTTTCAGAGGTGTGTTTTTCCAGGGTTACAAGTGTACAGGTATGATTTCTTTGTTTTGTCAAGAGTTTAAGATTAAAAGTTTTTTCATATCCCAATGATCCCTGTGATGAAGATAGATCTTTAATAATTGATTTAATAAGATATCATGAATTATCATTATTCAATTCAAGGAAAATAATCTTTCTAATTAAACAATCTACCAGCAGTACATGTAGCAGAATTGTCATAGTTTACCTCATAAGTATTGTTTGTGTTTTCAGACCCAGGAAGTGATATTGCTGTGCATAAGGAATGTATTGGCAAACCTCCAAATACAGGCAGTAGAGGTAAGATACTAATTTTCATGGGGGTTCAATTTTGTTGTTTTAGAAGTATGGAGTATAGAATTCATGACCATCGCAAAATATCAAATTTAATATGCATTACTACTCAACACTTCTCCTATCACAAAATCAAATCCCCACATATCAATACCTCAAAATTTGCTTTCACAAAACAATATGATTTTACGTATGTTAATTGACCATAATGATTACATGTATATTTTATTGCCTTATTAATGAATCTTACAGGAAATAAGACACCAAAAAAGGGACTTAAGAACGATTTGGAGAACATCTCTAACTGACCCCATAACTAATAAAACTAGTTTGAGTTGATTTTGATGTACTGTAGATCACTAAATTTTCGCGACACCTTATTTTCGCGAGATAATCATTGACTCTTGATAAGCGAGACAAAATTTTCACGAATTGTGGTTATTGCTCTATATAATCTTAAGGAATACTATTATACGCGAGTATCAAATTTTCGCGAGCATACTGTCTCGCGTAAATTAAAGTTCTCGCGAATAAAAAGTGATTTACAGTATATAATATTCTGTTTTTATTTTTCAGTGCCACCCATTCCAGCTCGAGTGATAGGTAAGTTAAGCACTATGATGGTTTCTCCCCCAATCTTTATTGTTGTTGAGTGTTATCACTTGCAAGCATGCTACACACAGGACATGAGTTTTCCCTCAGGATATGTTACATATTACAAAGAAACACTCAAAGGGCAAATCCTGCACATGATTTAAAAAAAAACATCTAGATTGCCAATTCATATTATCTTACCTAAACATCTATTACGCATTTTATCCAAGCTTCTCCTATGTACAATGTACACACACTGCAAAATTGAGCATAAACTTGTCATTGTAGTCCTTATTTCTATGCTAGAACAATTCATTATGCTTGGTTTGTGCAGAAACATTTAGAACTTTGGATGTGGTTCATGAACGCCGTAGATCGCTATCGATCAGGGAAAGTAGTTCAATATCACGCTTTGAGAGTAGACGAACCACTAGTATTATTTGTGAACGTAAGTCAATTTATTGCATGACTGAATGCATGATCATATAAGAAGTTCTGGGAATGTGATTTTTATGTCTTTTTCAGAATCTCTCTGGTTCATTCAAAATGGCTTGTTTGTACTCAGTTTAGGGAGACTGTGTCTGTTACTGCATGTCACTAAGATACTATGTTCATTAAGTTCTACATTTCTGTTTTGATAGAGGGCTTAATGCAGATATTGGTGCATGATATGAACATAAACTGTAGAATGTTTGGTGAATGAATTTTTTTCTGTAGGAATTAAATTTCTTGTTTCCTTTTGATCTGGTTTATCAGCCTCAGGAGAAGATTGAGATCTTTGTCTCTATGTACATGTATACCAAAGCAATACAGCTTTTCTTTATAGATAAACTTGACACCCTCCTAATTATAAAGCATGATTTCATGGACAGTATTTTTCACTTCATGAATATTTAAGAATTAAAAAAATATTTATATTTCAAGAATATTGCAATAACTCTACTGCATCAAATGTAAAAATTTTTTTTATTTTCTTGTATATTACTGTAGATTATTTATAGATTATTCATTGTCATTAAAAATGGAATTATGATGTTACCAATAATATTTTTCTTGTTGATTGTAACATTCTTTCAGAATATTTTTTACAGATATATGAGAAAAATCTTCACATGTTTACAACATAGAATGTTTCAGAATTGTTCATATTCTGCATAACAAGCTAGCTGTACATTTTTTGTCATTTTCCACATTTGTCTTTCTACTGAGATTTATTGTTCATACATTTGACTTTGATCCACTCCATTACACATTGTAGGGAGGTCACCCACTCATGTTCAGCATAGTAAGTTCTTCTTCCACGTTTCTTCCCTCCATCTTCCCTGCAAATGTAGCTTTCTTTAAATGTTAAAAGTCCTAGTAGGGTTTGGTTTGAGAAAAACCCCAGTATGTTCCTGGTTTAGAGGAGTTTAATGTTTGTACAGTTTGTTTATTTCTTGTGATTTGGAACCATTGTCTGGAAACAGAAAACTGTTTAGTATTATGTGTAACAACTGGATGATAGGAAGAGATTAAATTAAAAAAAATAATATTTCTTTCATATTTCAGGAATACCTAGTGTTAAATTTGTCAATTTTTTAGTACATGTACTGGTACATTTAAAACAAAATATAACTTTTGTTAGATTTATTTCATTTACTGAAAAGTTTTATGAAAATCGGTACACTGACTTCTTTTCTTGCAAAGTTTGGGACAGTTTTTGATCTAAGATTTCTTACATCATACAGAAGTTAGTGTCTCTAAGTATTTATCAATGTAAATTACTTTACTGAATGATTTAAAATCACACAACATAATACAGTATTTATGATGCTTATTTACTAAACAACTTAAAGAATACAATGTACTACATAAAACTCTCCAAACAACTTATTTGCCAAATCATATTTTTTTATTGAGTATGAAGTTCATGCTTTTGAATGCATGTCATTAAATCATCTTTTCCAGCACATTGTATATCAAGTTTTACGTTATTCAGTTGATTTGTTTTCATTTGCAATGATTGATATAAAATTTACATCCATATCTACAAATTCTCTTACAGTTTCTTATCTTTACACTTTGCATTAAAACACCAGCTTCATTAGCTTGCCATATTCATCACTCATGCTTTCTTCTCTTTTGTTAATACATTATTTTTATGACAAATTACTTAAAACTTTTTCTGTCTGTCTGTAACCAGATTTCACAGGTTGTTTCTTAGATGGAGGTCTTGTGAAAAGCATGCTGAACTTAACGTCATTCAGACTTTTTTTGTTTTGAATGGAATGCAACCTCTCATATATACATGTATTCCCTCAGTAGATGTCTTAATTGTACACATTGACTTACAGTGTTTAATTGTAAATATACGTGACTTTACAGGGCAGGTTCGAGCTCTATGTAATTACAATGGCACTCCCAGCCCCGGGGCAGGCCGCCCAGCCTTGAGCTTTCAGAAAGACGATGTGATAAAGCTACTAAACAATGACGCTCAGTGGTGGAAAGTAAGTGTTTACAGCAGAGAGACTGATACCTGTAAAACAAAGATCCTATAGTTAATTTCAGAAACTAAATGGCTGTAGATACTTTCTACGTAATTTAACAGAACATGGAGTAAGAACACATTAATTGCTATATGTAAGCTGTTGAAGAATCAGTATCATTGGTAACATCTTTTTACAATTTTAGGGACTGCTGAATGGAGATGAGGGCTGGTTCCCTTCACAACTTGTGCAAGAGGAAAATAATCCAAGGGTAAGATGTCATGTTCTGTAATGATAAAACATCTGTCAATCTAATAACTCGGTGTCTGGAGTTAGAATTTGTATTATTATGCTGTATTACTTTTTTTTATAACAAAGTAACCCAAATACTTTGCTGACTTTGTTTTTGAAACAGAAGAATAAAGCATATGATGGTAATGCAGTTTGGTAGGTCATTTTCAAATAGAAATTTTTGAGAAAGCATGAAGCTTAAGCAGTATTACCCCCCCCCCCCATTTCAGCATGTGAATTATTTGTATAAATCAACATTTTACAGACATAACTTGAAAATACACTTATCCAACAACCAACTATTCCCCTGTTATTCTCTGTGAGAATCCGTTAAAAGGCTCACAGAATGAGCTTTATGTACCCCCAGTTTTGTTCTGAATGACAGTGATTTGTGTGTGTTGGCATCCAAGCTGTGATTTATTGAATTGCTGCTGAGATTTCGTATGAATGTCAACTGCAGGTCGAGCTTGTATATGTTGATTGGCTTGTTATATATGAATGTGATCTACATGTTTGTAACCAGCTCTTTATTGTCATCAGATCCGCAGAAAACCCTCGTATTTGGATGTGAAAATGAAGAATGGAACGCCCAGTATTGTATCCCCTCCCCGCCCCCACTCCCCCGCTAACAATGTTCCCTATGTTAATGTGGATAGCGATGGAATGTCCAGTCAGCTCAATGTCTATAAATGGTATGTCAGCCATTCTATGTTGTGATGAACCAGGGAAGTTTAATATTTAAGTATGATTATACTGGAATCAAAGTTATCCATTACGTCGATTGTCGTTACAAATAAAATTAATCTTTTTTAAAGTAAATTTATGTAAAATAACATTGAAATAGTAAGATTTTATGCTTTATTGTATTTAGGTTTGTGGGTCCAATGGACAGAGACACTGCCAATCGCAGACTTGGCAACATGCCAAACGGGACATTCTTAATTCGAGTCAGCGAGAACCCAGGCAGGAGAGGGGAACTCTCTCTTAGTATTCGGTAAACACAGTTTAAATTATCAGATACATCTGCCTGTATTTACTGAAAGGTTTCAGACTGTAACCTTTAAATTTTATTTTATGTAAGAAACACACAATTCCACCATCTGGTTTCTATTTGGGTACTGTATAGGGGGAAAATAGCTCGCGGTGTTAATATTCGCTATATTCACGGTGTTAATGAATCCGTGAATTCAAGAAACAGTGAATAAGTTTTCAATAGGTATAGATAAGGGAGGAAACTTTTAATATATACAAATTCCGTGAATTCAAGAAACCGTGATTGTGCCAAAGAAGAGAAAAACGTGAAAATTACAACCCGTGAAATTTATCCCCTATACAGTAATTGAAATGTCAAAATGTCCCTGTGTTATAAAATACATCTAAATATTACAATTTTTTAGGATTTCTGGAGAAATTTTAAAAATGATACTTTAATTCTTTAAAAAAAAAACTTATTAATAGCATTTTTTTAATAATGTTTTGTTCATAATGAATCAACACACATAATAAAGAAATCAATCTACCAATTAATGAAATTATGCAATGGAAACCCCAGTTGGCCCCCTTTAAAATGGTGTGAATAACTACAGTGCAAAGGCGGCTGCATTTCATTTCCGGAAATTTTGGTAATTATCAACTTTTCATTTCCGACATTTTTTTGTTTTCATTTCCGACATTTTTCAGATACATATGTAGTAATTTTAATAACAGATCTGAATACTTTACTTATGAAAATTTTAAAGAAAAAATCTTAAATAAATCTTTGAAATCCATTATCCGAGTTTTGTAAATCTATCAATGACTTGGACATAAGTGTGGTGTTGTCACTGACATTTAATTTAGTGCACTTTAGATGTGGTGAAAAAGTTTATGCTCATTGAATTCTTTTACCTAGACTTAGTGCTACATGTATGCATATATATGTAGATGTTTTTAGCTCTTCTGAGCCAAAGGCTCAAAGAGCTAATGCTATGGCCATTTGTGCGGTGTGCGTCGTGCGGTGTGCGTTAACTTTTTAGAATATGGGCCATAACTCAAGAACCCCTTGGCCAATCAGTGTCAAATTTGTCACAGGGTATCCTTGGCCCAAGGGCTACCATTTATACTAAAATAAGGGTTGGGACCCTAAAACAAGGGGAGATAATTAGGAAAACAAAACCAAAAGTACTGGTTGCTAAAAAATCTTCTTCTCCAGAACCACCAGGCAGATTTTCACCAAACTTACACACAAGGATCAGGATATGTTGAAGATTAAAAATTGTTCGAGGCATGACCCTGGGGCAAAGGGCGTGGTCTCAAGGTCACTTTAAAGTTGACCTAAATTTACCGTTAATAAAAATGTTTACATTTTGCTTACTATAAGGACTAGGATCATCAAATCTTGTAAGTTGATGCATCTTAGGACTTCACATCATGTTAACTCAAAAGTAGGTCACGGTGACCTACTTTTTTTAATTTTGCGGGCATTTGTTTTCAAATTGATTTTAAGGCATATTTTGGACACTTTAAAGCCTATGATCATCAAACTTTGTCAGTTGATGCATTTTGGGTCCTTGAACAACGTCAACTTAAAAGTAGGTCACTGTGACCTACTTTTTGAACTTTATGTCTTATCCTTTATAAAACATTTAATCCCATTATTTCAGGCACTGAAAGGGTTAGAATCATTAAATCTTGTAAGTTGCTGCATCTTGGGACCTTAAAACATATTTAAGAAAAAGTAGGTCACTGTGACCTACTTTTAGAATTTTGCAGGCATATGTTTTCAAATATTGTTTAAAAGGCATATTTTGATTACCTTCAGACCTACGATCATCAAACTTGGTCAGGAGATGCATCTTGGGACTCTGAAAAATGTCGACCAAAATGTAGGTCACGGTGACCTACTTTTGACATTTTATGGCTAGATTTAAGTATCTTAGGTATTTATTGGCTTAGAATCATCAAACTTTGTGAGTTGATGGATTTTGGGTTTTCGAAGAGTGACGACCAAAAATTAGGTCATGGTGACCTACTTTCGACATTTTATGGCTATATTTCAGTATCTTAGGTATTTATTGGCTTAGAATCATCAAACTTTGTGAGTTGATGGATTTTAGGTTTTCGGAGAGTGTCCACCAAAAATTAGGTCACGGTGACCTACTTTTGACATTTTTTGGCTATATTTAAGTATTTCCGGTACTTATTGGTTTAGAATCATCATACTTTGTTAGTTGATGCATCTTCAGTTTTCCAAGAATGTCAACAAAAAAGTAGGTCATGGTGACCTACTTTTGAATATCTCAGGTATTTATTGGCATAGAATTATCAAACTTGGTCAGCAGATGCAGCTTGGGACTCTAAAAAATGTCAACCAAAATGTAGGTCACGATGACCTACTTTTGACATTTCGCGGCTATATTTAAGTACATGTATCTCCAGTACTTATTGGCTTAGAATCATCAAACTTTGTCAGTTGATGCATCTTCGGTTTTCCAAGAATGACAACCAAAAAGTAGGTCACAGTGACCTACTTTTGACATTTTATGGCTATATTTAAGTATCTCCGGTACTTATTGGTTTAGAATCATCATACTTTGTCAGTTAATGCATCTTGGGTTTTGCGAGAATGTCGACCAAAAAGTAGGTCACAGTGACCTACTTTTGAATATCTCAGGTATTTATTGGCTTAGAATTATCAAACTTAGTCAGCAGATGCATCTTGGGACTCTGAAAAATGTTGACTAAAATGTAGGTCACGATGACCTACTTTCGACATTTTATGGCTATTTTTAATTATCTTAGGTATTTATTGGCTTAGAATAATCAAACTTTGTCAGGTGATGCAACTTTGGTCTTAGGATACTTAGGGTTAGAGGCTTCAAATACAAGTGATAGGTTGTACAATTTATCAGAAGAGCGATTCAAGGCCCTTGGGCCTCTTGTTTTTTATTATTATTATTATTTTATCAATATTTTGTAATAAATACTTTTAAAATTCCATTTTCACTTACTTAGAAAACATTGAATTGCCGCACAGGTAAATTCCGGAAATGAAAACAAAACTATGTCGGAAATGAAAACAAAAAATGTCGGAAATGAAATTAAAAAATGTCGGAAATGCTATGCTTAATTTCGGAAATGAAATGCAGCGGCAAAGGCTAGCATCATTTGAGTGTACCGGGGGGGGGGGGGGGGGGGGCAATTTTATACATTTAGATATTTTTAGTTTATATAAATTATGAAAAAAAAATGTTTCTAGAGAAGGAGATGATAGATGGTAATGTTGTATTTAAATTTGTACATAAGAATTACTGTATAAAGTTTATTTGTTTTAGATATGCAGAAATATTTTTCAGTTGTATTGTTTGTCTTGCTGTATAGCAGAGTGATGTTAATTATTAATGTTAATAATTAGTTTATATCCACATTTTTCATTTGATGTATTTATTTGATAATATTTTGTTTTGATTGACATTTCATGTTATTTCTTCTTATATGCCTTTGTTGGTATTTTTCTTTAAAAAAAAATTTTTATTTGATTTTATAAATGAAATTTATCTCTCAGTGAAAACAAGTTTGGAATGTTGAAAAATGACTATTGCTTGCAAGTATTATTAACAAATTTAGGACCTTTTTGTTGTACAAAGATTGAGATTAGAGATTGTGACCTAGAAAAAAACTAAGTGCTCTTTTCAAACACTTAACTTAGAATGTTAAATTAGACATGTAAAAAAAACTTTTAGTATTGATGGTTATTATGCATGATTGTAAATAACAGTTTCCAACATGTTATATATATAGTTCTGAATCTTGCATGTGACTATACGGTTATATCCAGCTATTCTGCATGTCCTTCGTATTGTAGGTATGATAACCAGGTTCGTCACATCAGAGTGGAGAAGAATGCAGAAGGCTTGTTTTATTTAGCTGATACTAAATTCTTTTCTTCTCTACCTGTGAGTATATTGGCATGCTCAAGGCTGTCCTTATAGGTTGTCTTAGTTCTGAAGGCAAAATCAAACGGGGCATCCATAGCACACGAAATCCACACCACACATTTATCATTAAAAAAAAGCAATTAAACAATATGAAACCTAAAAGTTTCTGGAAGTCTGTCTTGCTATGGATGGTCCCTGTTTCCTTTCATACCCACATCGTTGATGTCTACTGCTAGATGTGTAAGTACAAGTATAGAGAGAAGCATGAACCCTTTATACCAGTTTCTCAGCTAGTATCTTGTCATGTGACTCTAGTCATATGACTGTCATATGACTGCATGCAGACTCCTCGTATCCCACAAAGATGCAGGTAAAGTTTATTTTAATGCCTCCCACATTTGATTTTAGAAATAATTCTGTACAGCATATTAAAGTTCGCAAGGATGAAGAGGGATTCTATAGATTAAGTATGGACAAGAACTTCAAAACGGTGAAGGTGAGACATACCTAGGAAACTAACAGCAGATGTACACTACCATATTTAATTTAGATGGAACTTAATGAACTTATTATTTTGATATTTTTTAATATTTCATTCTCTCAAAAAATGTATCTGTTTGTCTGTTTGATCATTGACTTTGTTTCTGATTGTGGAATCCTTTTACAGGAATTAGTGGAGTTCTATCAGGATAACTCACTAGCAGATAGTTTTCCCGGGGTGGATACAGTTCTAAAATTTCCTTTCAAATCTCAGGCTGGAGGAGGGGCTAGTAAGTCAAGAAAAGAATTACTGTAAATCACTTCTTATTCACGAGAACTCTTTTTTGAGTAATTACGGTAGGCAATGTGCACCTGAAACTAAAGTTCTTATGTATATTAGTATTCCCAAAGAGAATATAAAAGCAGTAATCACAATTATTGAAAATTTTGTCTCCCTTTTAAAGAGCCATTAATGACTATCTTATGAAAATAAGGTGTCACGAAAAATTAAGTGATGTACAGTAATCTAAGTTATTTTGTTTTCTAATCTTGGGACTTCTAACCAAAGTAATCTTATAATGTCTGTTTCTCAGATGCACGGATTCTGGGCTACGCAGAAGCGGTGTACGATTACGCGGCCACTGCTACGTCTCAGCTGTCCTTGTGTCGCGGAGACAAAGTGGCCATCCTCAGTAAAACAGGAAGTGATAAAGGCTGGTGGAAGGGAGAGCACTGCGTCACAGGAAAGGTTGGCCAATTTTCTTCATTTTTCTTCAGTATTATCTAAATTTAAATCAGCATAAGCCAGAATAGATTAAATCTTTTAAAGAATATTTGATTTAAAAATTCTTGTGATGTAAAATCTAAAGTGCACAGTTTTAATGATTTTTGGTTTTTTTTCCTCCAGAATGGTTACTTCCCGTTAGCGTATGTAAGAGAGCTGGATGATGACTGATCCTTAGTGAATGCTTATAATCATATGCAAGACCTCCACTCACCACTGCATTGCCAGTTTTGTTAACCATGTGACCAAGCAATATCGGCCAATAGGAAACCTTTTCCATCATACAGCAAGTGCAAGTCAGAGATGACAGGAATTTTCTGTCCCACAGAATTTCTCCGTTGTCCTGCCTCCCCCATTGAGCTACCAGAGAAGATTCCCTGATTTGCTCTCCATGATTTTACATATATATATGTACTTGCATTATATTTTGTTGCGAAAGGTGCCATTCTCATTTGATGGTAGATTGACACAGATTCCATTGATAATGTGATGTCTCCATTAGGGATGTTTCTTGTTCTCTGTGATATTTATAGCAATTAATTAACACTGACTCATCACCCTGACAGTATTGTGGACAACATGCAGCATAATACACCATGTATAACAGTATATTATATATAATAGCCCCACTCCTTCAGCCTGAGCTTTCTACTACTAGCATTATTTGCCTCCAGTGTTCCTTTATCAGGAAACAAACTTCAATGTTATTCCATAGAAAATTGGAGACCTATTTGGAATTGGAATCCTTTACCTGTACTTAATATTAAAAAATACTTAAAATTATTTGAAATATATTATAACTGGAAAAGCAGACAAGGTATTCATAATCTTAAAATAAATGATGTTTTATTTATAACACAGAAAAGTGCATATATATATATTGCCAAACTTTCATTCAGAAAACAGAGAAGAAAATTCCCATTAAATCCCTTGATATTTATGATACACCTGTGTATGAAGTTTTGAATTAGTTAAACAATGAATATATATCCCTCTGTTATTTACACAAATGCTATGATTATTTTCTTTCCTTTTGATTAGGTTTGTAATTTTCAGTATGACATTTTAATATCCAGGCCAAAATCATGACATAAAGACAACTCGCTGCATCATTAAGCTTGTTACATTTACATCCATATATATGTAAACTATGTGACCAATCTTCAACACCGAGTCCAGCATTGACTCTCTCCACTTCACTGCATTTAATGAAAAATGAACCTGTATCTATAAAGTGTAATTTTCTGACATATTGCACATCTTGCCTTTTTCAATAGAAGAAAAAACATTAATATAACTGACTTGAAGCACATATAACGCTATGCATTTATATTTCTTTACTTTTCATTATTGCTCACAGTGGATGCTGTATGATATACTATATAAACCTAGGAATAAGTTTAAATGACTCCCTCTCCTTTTAAACAGGCCCCATCATAGTATGTGTATATTAAGTCAGACAGGTATCATTGTAGCTCATTATCGTGATCAGCTGGGATGATTTGTTGAGAAGATTGCTATTTATCTTGAACTCAGTTAATAAAAATTTAAAAACACTAGATTTCCTCATGATTTTGTGGTCATGTATGAATTAATACATGCTGTGATTAGTAATGTTGAACTGTAGCAAATGAGAAAGCATAAAAAAGTTTTTTATTTAATTTCGCTTCAGAGGAAACATTACAGGTTTTAATATCAGATGACTCATTAAGGTAAAGTTGCTATATGTTTTCATCCAATGTCCTTTGTCTTAACATTTTAACATTTTCTGTTGGGTTCTTTCCTTGAACCACTGAACTAGTTTTTGCATAGATCATATGAAGTAGAGGGGAAAAAAATCTAATTTCACGATCTCTCTCCCCCTACCTCCTCTTTTGGACTGAAGAGGTGGGGCTTAAATTACAAAAAATTGGTGTTATCTTTAATTAAATAGCATGTTCACTCCTGGACATCAAGTAGTTTTAAAAATAGTTGGCATTATTGTAATAAGCATTGTCTTCTACCAAAATCTAGGGTCAGGGGTTATAAAATATGGTAAAATATGTAACAATTTGATATGTATGCATTCTAGTCCATGTTGCAATGTATCATGAAACATATGGAGATGACAAACAGTATTCAAGATCAAAAGTCCATAAAACAATACAAAATACGAGCAGAGCAAATACGGACCTCCAACACATCAGAGGTGGGATCAGATGCAATGGAGGAGTGAGCATAACCAGCCGACCGGTCACATGCTTATTGTCATGATCGGAAATAACGGGAAAATCCGTTACCAATCAGTGAATAAATAATGGACTTACAATAAGTATGAAAAATGTCAGTCATGAGCATTTGAATCGATGAAATCTTGTATTTGCTGACAAGGTCATTGTATTGACCATAGAACTTATGAAGTAATGAATTTAAATGAGACTGCTGATATTCTTGTTTCATCAACTTGTTTGTCAATAATTTACCTCGTTTTAGAAATTGTTCATATGTAGAGCATGCTCTTGGGTCTCGAATCAACTGAGATACATAAATCTTTATGTAAGTGATGAAGGTATATTGCTGCATAAATAAGGGAAGTTGACGATAGAAAAGTTAAAGTCATCACGTTTTTCATGAGCTTGGTTGTTAAATTACCATTAACGTCTTTTTCAAGTAAAATACTCAGATATGAACAGATGTGTCAGACTCTGTGGCATCTTTTATCTGAAGCTTACCAGGAATATCGTATCAACATCAGAATGGAAATTACCATTGTCAACTGACAATAGTCGTCAATATATCTAAATATCGAGTTGAAGGCCACACAAATGTTTTCTTCTTTTCTATGTTGTTTTATGAGACCAGATCTTCCAACAATCTATTGGAATTCCCATGGTTATCAATTGCGCCCCGTTATGAGCAGACCTATTTTTGTATTCATATGAAGCAGAATGTGCAAAATCGCATGTATGAAAAGAAGAAACTGACGTTTTTCATACTAATTGTTTGTCCATTATTTATTCATTGAATTGACGGATTTTTCCGTTATTTCCCGATCATGACAAGGAGCACACGGCGGGTGTGACCGGTCGGCAGGGGATGCTCACTCCTCCATGGCACCCGATCCCACCTCTGTTTTGGAGGTCCGTGTTTGCTCTGCTCCTATTTTGTATTGTTTTATGGACTTTTGATCTTGACTGCTGTTCGTTATCGCCATATATTTTATTTCACGCATAAGATTTAGCACAAATTCTGATTCATTTGAATACAATATATGTCTGCTAATAACTGGGCGCAATGTGGTACCCATGGGAATTCCAATAAATTGTTGATAAACCTGGTCTCCAAAAGCAACATAGATATTGTCAATCAGAAACTCGAGCATCTTTTCGATGTCAACTTCAGAGTACTTGACAGTTTTGTGTACAATCAAATCTTGCGCCGTAAATTTCGCATTTTTTGCATTACGGGATCTGAAGCGTTATGGCCAAGGACTAATATATAAAACCATAACGCTTACAGTTCTCCAGCCTTTCGTAAACAATGCTTTAAAAGACAGATGTCCCATTTTTTTTTAGACCAGCGAGCTACAATTCTGCAGCTAAGTGTAGAACTGAAGAAAGAAAAGTAACAGGATTTTCTCCCCTATCTTCTAATCTTCATTATCTTAGTTTGATTTTGTGGATCTTTTTAGAGAAATAATATTTGGTACAAACCTTACAATGTAAATCACATTTAATATTAATTCAGACAGATTTTTTTTGCACAAACGAAGCATTCGAAATTTCGACGCAATTTTCTCTATTTAAAACCACGGACTATTGATATGCCTGTGTAATATCATAGTCCCTAATGTGGGTCGAGATTTAGGATGATGTACTAGTATCTGTGGACTATACAACAAATGACCCCCGAATTATAAACAGAAAAGGTAAACAGCAATACATCCACACGATGAAAGTCGCAGGTAATTGCTTTGAATACCGCTATATGATAAAATATCATAGTATTTTTTCATTCGAATTTACTAAATCTGTCTGATTTCAGAATATATCATAGAAAACAATTCACTAACCATAACAGATGAAGCAAAGCGATGTTTCATTGAGGATGGATGTATTATTGTAAGGTATATACAGGTACTTCGTAGAGCCTCCGTTCATCAAATGAGGATTTAAAAAAAATACTAGTTAAAAGAAAAAAAAAATGAAAGGGTTACATACATAAAAACAGACAGTAGTATTTCAACTGTTTTAAAAGGACGCAGATCTTGCAATTACATCTAATTTCATTGCCAAGATGTTAATGATTTGATTTCAGAGGTTTACTAAGTAAGGCAGAACTGCTAAAAGTGGAGAAAGCCGTCGAAAACCCAGAACTTCTAAAACACCAGTATGGAGTACGTTTGTCTAATCATATGGAACGCCGTCACTGCCTTATAGCAGAACACTACAATTGCATTGAGTCAACTTTCCATTACATTATATCAACTCTTTATGACATTTACACACACTACTATTGCGTTATGTCAACTTTCTATTACATTATGTCAACTCTTTATGACATTTACTCACACTACTATTACATTGTGCCAATCTTCCGTTGCATTATATCAGCTCTTTATGATATTAAGTCAAAACAATTTTACGTGGTGTAAAGATGTTTTTATATAATTTCAACTCATTATTACATTAAGTGCACTCTCTGCTATTTGGTCTAAGTAGTTCATTACATGATGTGAACTTATCTTTAATTCAATATCAAGTCGCTATAACATGATGTCAGAATTTTATTACATGATGCGAAAAGAATTGTCACATGTGGCCAATTCTTTACTACATTGTGTCATCAATATGGTACATGACAACGGGAATCTATTACATTATGTCAATTTTCCCTTACTTTTTGACAAATCATTATTATGTTATGCCATTGTATCTTTACACTGTGTCTAAAATGCTAAGCCTCTTGTCAGTATATCTTAGAATATTTCAACTCTTTATTGTGTGACATAAGGTTTAGGTTATGCCTAGAAGTTCGTTTTGTGTTTTCAGTATTACATGCAAATATGTTAAACATGCAAATAATTTAAATCAAACATATCAAATATTAAATTATACACAAGACTTCATTAATCCTTAAGTAAATATCAGGCTAAAACTTATAAATAAGATTATGTTCCCGTGGAATCCTTATTGACGATTCATGCGATTGTTTTTTTAACGTCGAAATTCAATGGCCGTTTAATTTCATAATTATCGCAAATCAAATATCAGTATGTGTCATGCAGCAATATTTTTCTTTTTATTTTGAATTGTTTTAAAAAGTCCGAAACTTCTGATCTAACCACGAAAATTGTCCTAAGCTTTTTATCTGTCTTTAACCCTCCCTTTTTTTTTAAAAGTGTAAACACATCGTCTTGCGTACGTGCACTGGTGGGTGGATGGGGAAAGGGGGATCCCGCCCTCCCATCTTTAGTGACCAAAATATGCATGAAATTAATAAATTGGTTTTACTTTGTAGGACATTGCATTAGTTTCACATAAAGTATAACTGAAATAAATTGAAAACGTTTTATATTTAAAAAAAACCGTAAAGCCTTAGGGCTTCCAGGCTTTCACCCCCTGCATGGTCCCCAACTTAGACACATACCGTCCCCCCACAGCTACTCTTTTCAAGAACCCAAAATCGACACTGATATGTTCCCATGTTTACTGAGGCATGGTCAATTGATTTAAGTGAGGTACTGGTAGATTTTTTGTAACAGAATTCTGGTCCTGGAATAGTTGAAAAATGACTAATTCCAGTGACGTTGCATCCTTTTTGAAAGTTGGGGGAGGTTTGTCAGCCAGAAAAAAATAACGTACAGGAAAAGGCAAAAAAAAAAAAAATGATAATAATAATTTGTCCAAACTTGAAAATCCTATTTCGGGTGAAAGGGGGGGGGGGTGTCCAATTTCGATCAGTCCTCAAAAAAAAAATCCAAATATACTACATTACCCTTATACTTCAGGAAAAAGTGGGTGCGGAATTTAAATGAACATTTTCTATGATAAATTTATGTCTGGAAGAAAGAGGAAGCAAGCCCCCCCCCCCTCATATAATGCGTCTGTCCTAATTAATCAGGACCTGCCCCCCCCCCCCCCCCTTCCCAGTCGTGAAAACACTGTTATCAACTTTGGTATAATGTAAATGTATTTTACAGCACGTAATGAACATTTGTAATCAACGTGAAAAAGAGTTAATACAATGTAAAGATAATTTTAAATCACATAAGAAAGAGTTAACATATTCTTATTAAATATCCACATTAAGGAATGGAGTTTTGACATAACGTAATAAAGTGTTGATATAATATGGAACGCCGGGACTGTCTCCATAATATATGTTCACATTATATTATAAGCCTTTATACATCACGTAATAAAGCACTGACATAAAGGTAAGATGTATTCACCTTACATCATTATGACCTCGGCGTAAAATAAAGATACATTCATATCACATAATAATGGTTTGTTATAATAGAAATATACACTCACAAAAGGGAATGGACTTTGACTGAAAGTAATGATAAATTTAATCATAAAACACATGTAAAACGAAATTAACTTGACTTAATGCAATTTTGACCCAACATGTTAAATAAATGAAATAATATAAAAAAAACATTCATTTCACGTGCACGTAATAAATTTTAACACAATGTAAACATATTTTCACTTCACATAATGAACTTCGGACTTCAACTTATAATTAAAGAGCTGATATAATAGAAGAATGCGTTTACTTCATATAATGCAGCATTGACATGATGTAAAGATTTTTTTACATCACCCCATAAAAGTTGACATAACGTAAAGATATGTTCACATCACGTTATGATAGATTGACATAATGAATGCATAGTTTTATGCTATAAGGCAGTGATGGCGTTCCATATAATCATGTTTTAATCAGTTTAAAGTACGTCTGTCTAATCATGTTTTGCTTAGTTTGTCTTTACACTTAAAATGGTAATTTTTACTTCTCTGTGTTTTATTTTCCAGAGACCAGACAAGAATGGGAGAGAACCAAAACTGGTTCTGTGGCAGCATCCGGGAAATGACGTCACTGGTATTGTTGCACGCTCTGAGAAAGTTGCCAAGACATGTGAAGAGGTGAGTTAACGATTTACTAGTATTTCAATAAATTCATTATTATACAAAATTAATGCGTATAAATCGGTTAATTTTCAGTTACTAGGGGGAGAGGTCTACCATTACCACACCAAATTAATTGCCAAGGAACCATATATAGGAGGTACTTTTGAATGGCACCAAGATTATGGGTAAGTCTGGTAAACTTAGTGAATACAGTGTATTTATATCCTGTAGTATGCTCAGTGACGTCATATTTAACCAGGTACTGGTATAAATACGGCTGTATGTTCCCTGATATGATGACGGTCTTTGTAGCATTGGATGATTGCAAGAAAGAAAACGGTTGTTTGCAGGTAAGTTGTTTAAAAGTTTTTTTATTTTTAATTACTAGTACATGTATATACTATTTGTCTTTTTTGATTTTTTGTTTGATGAATTGTAATGCATTTTACCTTCAAAAAGGTTTTGAAAGGGTCACACAAATGTGGACGAATTGACCACTTAATAGTCGGGGAGCAAACTGGCGCGGACGTAGAACGAGTCAAGGAGATCGAGAAAGTTTGCGATCTGATTCACGTGGAACTGAAGGCAGGTGAGGAATGTTTATAGAATTGATCTTTTTGTAAATCATTACATTTCAAGTACTAGTATTTAAAGTCTGCCCTTCATCACTAAGTTAGGGCAATGAGAGATAAAAGACTTGTTTTGCAGGAGATGCCCTGTTTTTCCATTGCAATGTTCTTCACACCAGCAGTGATAATACGAGTAAGAACATGAGACGAGCTCTCGTTATAGCATACAACAAAGCGTCCAATGACCCAGGCCCACACGAAAAACATCCAGGATATACACCACTCGACATTGTAGGTACTATTCAGGTATAAATTAAATTACTTGTTTTCAGTTTACCCTTTCTCGTCATTGCACCTCTTTTACAGGTTGAAAATTCAGCAATAATGAATTGTGAAAACTATAGTGACTTCACAGGAAAAGACTTTTGGCTCAAACAACCACAAGTGTGATTAGTTGAAATGAAACATGATTGAAAAAAGTCATCCTAAAACATTTTATTCTTAGGCAGATTACTTCGTACAGGAATATCATTGCAAGATTGACATGCTAAATAATAAAAAATAAAAACATCACAAATGTTGAGTCATTCATTTTCTTTGCAGTTTTATAGACAGCTTCAATGTACAATAAGATTTTATTTATAATTTAAGAGGCTCGTCGAATGGCCCACGTCATCTGATACGTAAGTGCTGCGTCACTGTAAGAACTCTTAATCAAAGAGGGGTCATTCGTGCGGACAGCTTTCAGAAATGTTCCAAGTTCAGTGAGATACGAATCATCGGTAGGGAAGGTAAAGTCCTGATCCTTATTTGGCTCCTCGTTTTTTAGACTTCGTACCCTTAGGATACAGTCCTTTTCATAAGGTTCAATGAGGGACAGTTTGAGTCCATCTAGCTGAACGTCAATATTGGCCTCGTACCTTGTTCCCGGTAGAGCTATTGAGTGCATTAAGGTACCTAATCCACCGTCCATGAATCGCCAGTGACTCATTGTTACTCGAGGGATTCTTTTTTCAGGAGTTATGTCGTCCTCTGCTTCAATTGGAACGTAAGCTAGATGTCCAGCGCCACTGGGATCAGAGTCCTTCAGCAGAAGAGTGTGTATCGTAGGAAGATCTACGTCACTGACCACAAACCGCGCCAAATCACAGAAGTGTGTAGCCTGTTCTACGATTGGTCCACCGCTAAAGTCCTCATTGAACCAATACTTGTTAACAGCTTTGGTGTAGGCAAAATAGTATCTCGCATTGAACGCCATCACCTTCCCACCATGTTTTGCTATTAGCTCCTTCATTTTAAGTATGCCAGCATGATATCTGGAATACATAATGATAAAGATCTTGAACTAATTTCGTGCAATTGCCAAGTTTAAGTGGAAATTGATTGATATGCTATATATATTTACTGTATTACAGAAAATATACCTGAACATATATCCGACACACACTATGACTTTCTTTTCTTTGCATGTCTCTGTAACGGCTTTGGCGTAGCTCATAAAATCCTCCGGCGGCAGGACTGACAAAGGTTTCTCCACAAACACGTGTATTCCTGCACGTGCGAACTGGAGCTCGAGGTCTTTCCCCTCTGAAAAAGAACCACGATAAGCCGGAGGAATCCCTATCAACACAGCATCTGGTTTTAACTCAATAAGTTCTTTGTAATTTTTGAAGATTTTGCAGTTTTTGTAGAGATGACCATACTTTGCAGAAGATTGTCGTTTTTCTAGAACGCTCCTTGCCAACTTTTCGTCCAGGTCCACAATACCGATGACATCAATGTCTCCGAGCTGTTCTAGGCGCGAAGCGTGGTCCCATGGCAGGTGCTGCCGACCGAAGTTAATGGCGCCAGCGCCTATGAAGCCTATCTTAAGAGTAACCTGATCCGCCATCTGTAAAATCACTCTTGGTTAATTTTCAAGATTCATCAAGCGAAATCTACAGTATTAATACATTGACTAACCTGTCTTAGCTTAGTTTTAGGTCCAATTCTCTGCTGAGTTGATGGACTTTTAAATTCCCGTCCTTGGTTCAAATATTTCCGTTTCTCTGAAGATGACCCAATTTTGTTCTATCATTGAAATGTTTGTTCTGATTGATATAGAGTCTGCGTAAGAAATTTTACTTCGAGTGTTTGGAGGCCATCTTTTTACATCGTAAAATTATACCAGCGCTGTGTATTTAAAATGAGGTCACACGAATGGAAACAAAACACAAAGGGAAAGGAACAATTAATGTAACCCTCATTTTGTTATGTATTTAATATAGTCAACAGCTATTTTTTTGTATGTGAAAAAAAACCCCCGACTGACAGAGAAAAAAGGAACATATTCAAAATGCATCCGCTTATATCGTTCTTTTTGCAACAAAATATTTTAAAAAAAGGTAATCTCAACAAAGATGATAATGGCCAGTTTATATTTAGATACTGTATACTAAAGAAATAAACAAAAGATTGTCTAAATCTTTTTCAGATTAAGTGTTTTGACGATTTGCGTAGGTGTTGTTCTACTTTGAAATCAAATGATGCTTAGTTTGGCGATAAAATGAATACCCGTATAATAGTAGAATTATAGAACTCTGTAATTCAGATGTGTAATTCTGCATTTGATGACCAGGTTTCCAAGTCATGTATTAATTTTTGCATTGGTAAAGCATACCATTGAAAATCTTTAAAAACTTGGACGGGTCAATCATAGAAAATACTAAATATGGTAAATATAGTATTTTGAAATATGAGTAAAAAATGAAGATAAGCTGGTTCGAGAGGATACTCAGACTTTTCTTGAGAAAAAAAATATAGGAAAGGGCAGCATTTTGGAGAATTACGTATTCAAATTGGACATTTGGGCTAGATACTTCTAAACCGTGACGTGACATATCTAACTTGACTTTTCGTCGAAGTCTCCCCCGGGTTTCATAACTATCCATTTTCAGAAAGCTCGTGTGACCTTAATGGTAACTGGAAAGTGGTGAAATTTTCTAATATTGTTGCATTATGACTCTATATTATGGATATTTCCGTTGTTTGCTTTCATCAAATCACGATAAAATTTTAGAAAGAAATTCCACGAACTTTTGGATCAGCCCTCGTATATATATTATGAAGTAATTATATATATCATACTATGTGCAATATAAATATTATACACATGGAAGGTTTGTTATTCCGGTCACTGATTTAAGATAACTTAAGGTCATTAGATTTAAGATAACTTTAGGCCATTAGATAGGGATTTATGGACGTTGTCCTTGTTTCCCGGGGAGAGATAGCCTTAACAGTACACACATGCAGGTCTCACATCAGTTGGATCAAAATGTCGGGTAAGTCAGTTCATTCTTACCTAGATTTTCCTTATTTCAATGTTCTTAATACAAACAATTTACATAAATTACAGAGCATTAATATCATATCTAAGAAGCATAGCGTTCGGCAAATGCTTCGATGTATTTTTATACGTCTATTAGAGATATTTTCACTCATATTAAGATGTTATTACTTGCTGGTGTATGGCTACAAATTTATTCCTGTCCTCGACATTTTGGGCCTTTGAGCTTATTTAAGCTTAAGTTTATTTTCCCCGACCTTTTGCTACGCGGGACCCCGGTTAATATTCTCTCATCCGAAGGACCGGTTTCCTTCTGCTACCGGTGTAAAGACGAATAATGACCCCCCATCGAATAATGACCGGGGGTCATTTTTAGCTGTCGAAAAATTACCCCCGGTCAATATTTTAAGGCGAAAAATTACCCATTTGTCCGTAGAAAAAGTGTCACCATCCTAAAAATTTGCTGAAAACCCACGTGAAGAAAAATGACCCCGTAGAAAAATGACTCCCTGTGGATTAAAGCTGAAATTCTTAGGGGGCAAAAAAAATTAGATAAAGACGCATATTGGCCAAAATGCTCACCTGAGCTAATTGGGAATAAATTGATGATATGTTGATCTCATAACATTATACAATTATAGCTATATTTTAAGGTCAATGCCATGATTCAGAATCTAAAGGAGTAAAAGATTTATCGAGCCTAAAGGGTTAGGTAAACATTGTTTTTCGATGGTGGAAATCATCGTACTGACAGAAAAAATCAGCAGTATTATATACTAAGTATTATTATATCCTCCTCTTGTGTATAACTATAAAGGTACTGTGAGCAATGAGCTCACTAAATAAAACCCCCTGCACTCTCATATAAATATAATAGCAGAATCCATGTTTTGCTCTGGAAAATCCAAAATATATGTCAGATCAAAAAGTAAAATAGGATGTGCACAATAGCAATATGTAATAAAGATTCTGTGAAAGTCTCATTTCCTTCAAGGGTATGAGCGGAGTTGCGGATAAGAGATGGGTACCCCAAAGCGTAACAGACGGACGGACATACCGATTACTATATTACCCTCCCACTTTTCAAGCGGGGGTATAAAAAGATGTGTTTGTGAAACAGCTATGCCCCTATATGGCAACATAACAAAGATTAAACTTTTCTTAAATGCAATTTAAATATATTGGTAACCAAAGTAAGGTCTTCTCACAAGAAATACAATTGCAAAATAGGAAAGCCCTGGCACGGCTTGTTCAAAAGTAATGGCTAAGAATAAGGTTTTGAAAGGTAGGTCAAACTCAAAGGTCAAAGGGTCAAAGTTGATGGTTTCTTAAAAAAGGTTTAATGTAACAAGGATTACATATGTGAAGTATGAAAACCCTAGCCCTTACCGTTCAAATGTTATGGCCAAGGTTAAAGTTTTTTTCATAAGTAAGGAAATCTCCAAGGTCAAGGTCAAAAGGTCAAAGTTTTTAGTATCCAATGAAAGGTCATGCCAAAAAATACATATGTGAAGTATGAGAGTACTTCTATCTACCGTTTTTAAGTTATGGCCAAAGTAAAAATTTGGCATTTTTGTGTAAAATGGACACAAACTCCAAGGTAAAGGTCAAAAGGTCAAATTTTGTGGTACCTAAAGTAAGATCTTGTCTTAAGGAATACACATATTAAATATGAAAGTCATAGCTCCAATAAATGAACAGTTATGGTCAAGGTTACAGACCGCCAGATAGACAGATAGACATACAGACGGACACGATAAAACTATATATCCCCGAATCTTAGATTATGGGGACATAAATAGAAATGGTCTTCAATTGACTGTTCATATTACGATACAGTAAAATGAAGACGTTACAAAAATGAGAATGTTTGTTCTGATTTTCATATTAAATTCTTTGGAAAATATACTCAGAACTGAGTAAAATGGTGGAGTAAAAACAAGAATTAAGAAATGTAATGAATACTGTGTGCTAAATCAAAAGATTATGTCTACATGTATAGTTTTTGCATTAGAATGTGTATTTTACACTAGCCCATTGCTTTACAGGGCATATTTTAGGTGTTATACCCACCCCACCCCCTTACTTATTTAGGAGCAGGTCGATTATCAACAAAAGCAACAACAAAAAACTACCCTTCCTTTATTTTTCTGTAAGGAGGGACTAAAAAAAAAGCTTAAAATAATCTACTATTCCACCTATTTTCAACCGTTACTTTCCCACAATACTTTCAAGTATACCCCACCAACATTTAAAGTATGATTTAATCATTGCGAAGTAAATTATGATATGATTTTCTTGTGTGAAGGCTTTACTTCATTTCGATATTTTATTTAGAGCCTCTTTCAGTATTATTGAAAGGTATAGAGTTTTATTTATATTTTTGCCTTTTCATTAATTTTTTTTTGTTTTGATTGTTTTGATTTTACGTAATTTTTTTTTTTTTTTGGGGGGGGGGATAAAAATTTCCTCCTCTTTCATTGTCAAATAGGGTTTTCCAAACTTATACAAGCTAAAAGTTGAAATGAAGAAAAAAAATTCCTATTAAGGAATATTTAAACCTGATTGTTGCATGGTTTGATTTCTAAAAACAAGTGGAATATCATTCTTTAAGCAAACATGATAAGGAGGAATATTAAAAAGAAATTTTATTTACTTGACAATTAAAGAAGCTCTTTTCAAACACAATTTTAGCACTGAAAGACTACGTGAATCTCTTAATTATTTCATACGACTTTTGGTATTTTTCTGGTTACAGAAAATGTAAAACTTAGTTTCACTGTAAGAAAGATATCAAAGAGTGTATATTGTGAAAAAAAAAATTAAAAACTCTATTTCGTAATATTTTTTCCTTTCACCTGTTATAAATTTTGTATCACATTTAAGGGAGTCATTTTTCAATGGGGGTCAATTTTTTATAGGACTAACATATAAAATAATTACCCCTAGGACTCTTTTTCTACAAAAAATGTTTTTTTTTTTACTGGTGGGGGGTCATTTTTTGTCGTTGAAAAATTACCCCCGGTCATTATTCGATGGGGGTCATTATTCGTCTTTACACCGGCTTCCACGTCCCGCAGTGGGGTTCGAACTCGCGACGATAAGATCAACTCCATCGCTAGACTAGAGTGAATAAGATACCACTGCGAGCAACCGAAGTCTTCAATGAAGACCATTATAACGTTATAATAGTTGTTAGGGAATAAATAGTACTACAATAGTTACCCTTTAGTCTTCCTGTAAAATTTGAAGTTTACATCTGTAGTAAGCAATCACATTATAACCATAATTTCAGTCCCGAGACTTTAGAACCCTTTTCTCTATTTGAGGAGCCTTGTGATTTCAAAAGTACATTAAACCTTGAGGAAACATTGTCTTAATTTTTATGGTAAAAAGGCAGTGATAAATCAGGTAAAATGATTAATACCGAGATAGCTAAATTTCTACATTCTGAATCACCATATTATTATGTTATCGTTTGACAGCGGGATATCATATTTATTTTTTCATCAATTAAAAAAAAATCAGTTAAAAAACATGCAAATATATATTTTCAAATTGAATAATATATTTTTTAAGCCATAAACTTTGAAATTACGGACCAAAGATTGAAAGAATATGAAGAAAATGGTTTCATTATCATAAGGTACGTGTATGCAATACTTTTTCACAGCAAAAACAAAACACAGTTTTTATAAGAGTTTCATAGCAATCTTTTTTGACATACAATGAGAATGATAAGCCACAATATGCATGTACTAATATTCTAGTCCTTTTAAACAGGAATTTCTTCGATGACGAAGAAGTGAGAAAGATGAAAAAATGTTTTGAAGAGACAGAAGAAATGGCCAACCAAAAGATATCGGTATTTTTATTTATTTCATGCAATTTATGAATCGTTTTTGAAATTTTAATCTACACTAAATTTTTGTTGTTGAGATTTTAATTATCATAAGGTATGTCGTCTTTCCCTTAAACTTCATTGTGACATGACCCGGCGAGTTTTCCTTTGAAGTCAAGCGTACTGTAACTGCGATACAGAACACTTTTTGTGGGCGTTTCTTATGCAAATGAGCAGAAACTGTACTGTATCTGCAAAATATCAACGATACAGTACGGTTTATTTTTAGCCATGACGGAAAGCTGTATCCATATTCAGACACAAGAATCGTTCAATTTCCATGAAAGCACTGTTGGTATTTACTCAAAATTTGAGGTGAATTAAGAATAAAATTTTACAACGTAAAGTTATTAATAGTGTCGAATTCAAAAATTTTAGAAAGGAGGGAGTGGGGCAGTTCACAAATGATTACTACGCCCCCCCCCCCCCCCCCGAAAAAAAATAAGTAGAAACTCGAGGAAGGGGGTAGATTTATAGCCAACCAAGACACTATGTAGTGTTATCGTTTCTTGTTGATAAATTAATAAGCGTATGTATACAAGTTTAGCAAAAAACATATACGAAAGCGAAAAAGAAAACAAAAACTCACAGGAGGGTTGACCGGGGGTACCAGTGAGTGCTGGGATCCCTTTTGGTTACTCTACATTTTATTAAAAACATGAAGGTAAAATACCCCCCCCCCCCCCCCCCCCCCCCCCTCGCTTTCATTTCATCTGTTTATTTCATTTTTTTAATAATACGACAGGTGTAGGACATTGTCGGACTTTTTTCTCAGAATACAGTTTCGCAGAAGTATTTTTGTTTCAAAAACATTCCCACATGATTCTTATATATTTAAATGTTTTGGATTAAATCGTAGCTTAAATTTAAAAAACAAAGTCGGCAACAGCTGAATAGAGAAAAAAACCTAAGCAATCAAATTTAAATTTATTTTTTTGGAAAACAAATTATATAATGCATCCCCTAAATAATTATTTTAAAATGATAAATACCTGCATGTCCACCTCTCTCGGCATTTCACTTGCGAATGCTTAAAATGGGATACTAAATCAATTTTCTGCTAAAATCATCCGATTGGTTGAGAGATATGTACCCAAATATGAATGTAAATTGGTGAGGTCATTAGAAAGGTCATGTCACAAGTCATTTAGAATACTCGTTTCCTATTGTATCAGAGATACAGGGCGGGGCCCGGCTCGAGCTATCGCTCTCGCCTCAAGCCCCGCCCTGTATCTCTGATACAGTAGGAAACTCGTACTCTAAATATAACATAGGCAAGGAAAGGAATTGACGCGGTTAATATAAGTAATATTCTTAATCACAAAGGGCCCAGTCTTGAATGTGTACTTCATATTTTAAGTTAAAGACTACACCTTGTATTTCTTACAAATATACATCGAACATTGCTTCAAAAAATTTTCATTACAAAACTGAAAAAAAACAACTTTACATTGCCTGGATATCGAGTATCTGAAACCAAATCCTCTATCTTGTTTATGTTCTTCTTCACCGTACTGTGTATAACTATAGTTGTAGTTGCATGCTGCATATGCTATTACAGGTGACGGAAATATAGTAGTTAAGGTCTTCCGTCTTCACGGAAGACCTTATAGTGATTCTACTGTTTCTTATTAAGGTCTTCCGTCTTCTGCGGAAGACCTTATTGTTTTTTTTTCGGTTTCTTTTTCACTTTTATTAAGGTCTTCTGTCTTCACGGAAGACCTTATAGTGATTGTATTGTTTCTTATTATTAAGGTCTTCCGTCTTCACGGAAGACCTTATAGTGATTCTATTGTTTCTTATTATTATTAAGGTCTTCCGTCTTCACGGAAGACCTTATAGCGATTCTATTGTTTCTTCTTATTAAGGTCTTCCGTCTTCACGGAAGACCTTATAGTGATTCTACTGTTTCTTATTATTATTAGGTCTTTCCACCTTTCTGTGGAAAGACCTCTTGAAATGCTTATGTTTATTATTAGGTCTTTCCACCTTTCTGTGGAAAGACCTCTTGAAATGCTTATGTTTATTATTCTTTTTCTTCCCTTAACTTTTGAAACCACAAGGCTTATCAAAAAACTTAATAGTTCATGATACTGGATATTTAAAGTTATTCCGAAAAACGACCCAAGAAGTTTGGTCTTTAATCCCTTTCGAAGTTATTGCCCCTTTCACTGTAAAGCTTGTTATCGCTACTCCTCTGAAACCTTAAAACGCAGAGGTTTGAAACCTTTACCAATGTCTTTAACTGATAAAGAAGACTCTTCACTCTAACATTTCAAATGGATTTGTTAACCCATTCAATGAGTTATTGCCCCTGAAACTTTTCGAATTTTACAAAAAAATATATTTTTTTAAAACGAAAAGATGTAAAGACATGGGACCAACTGCATAAGATTCACTGACCTTTGATCTAAAATTTCATGCAAAGGTCAAAGGTCAAGGTCACTCCAAAAATGAGGAATCAAGCTCTTTTTATATCTCTTTTGTCTTTTAACATATACTTAATGTCTTTGCATCATTAATTTGAACTCTTAAAACTATTTCAAGAATTCCATTTTTGTCCCCTAAGATAAATGCTTAAAAAAGTTATTGCCCCTTGTGCGGAAAACATTGTTATCGCTACTCCCACGAAACTGTAGACCGTAGAGACACTAAATCTTCACTAATGTCTTAAGGGTCTTTAGGCATAACTTCACTGAATAAGTGCGAAAGGATCTGACGACCTCCTATATGAGTTATCGCCCTTTAATGTCTTTGTACTTACTATTAATTCTTATAACTTGAAAACTATAAGTGATAGAAGCATGGGGTTAAATGCATTGTCACCCTTGACCTTTGAGCTTGAATATTTTTCAAGGTCAAAGGTCAAGGTCATTTCATTTTATTTTTTAATTTTCATTTTTTCTATCCTTTAAGCCAATTTTGGTTTCTTATTCACGGAATTTAATTTTAAGGAGGCAGATTTAAAACAAAATTAAAATTCCAAGAAGGTGGAAAGACCTCTTATTGTTCTATGAACAATAAGTCTCCTAGTTATTATTAGGTCTTTCCACCTTTCTGTGGAAAGACCTATTGATTTTCTTCTGTTTCTTTTTTTTATTATTAGGTCTTTCCACCTTTCTGTGGAAAGACCTATTGATATTCTTCTGTTTCTTTTTTTCCTTTTTCTTTATTATTTTTCCGCCGTGTGATTTTTTGTTTCAAGATTTATCGAAAAGATTTTTATTTCATTAGAATACACTTTGTAAAAGATTTTCGCAGTTGACCCTGCGTATATGAACTTCGACCTCTTTCGGAGTTACTATCCCTTTTGCAAAAAGCTTGTTATCGCTACTCCTCCGAAACCATAAACTGTAGAGAAATGAAACCTTCACTATTGTCTTCGACTAATATAGTAGACACTTCAATGATTCATTGTGAAAGTATTCCTTGACCTTTCAATGAGTTATTGCCCCTGAAACTTTATGAATTTTAGGAATAATTAAAAATTTTCAAAACGAAGAGTCGTAGAGACATGGGACCAACTGCATAAGCTTCATTGACCTTTGACCTTGAAATTCAAGTAAAGGTCAAAGGTCAAGGTCATTCCCAAATTGAAAAATTTAGCTCTTTTTATATCTCTTTTGTCTTTCAACATATACTTAATGTCTATGCATCATTAATATGTACTCTTAAAACTGTTTCAAAGATTTCATTCTTGTCCCCTAAGATTAAACCTTTTCATAGTTATTGCCCCTTGTGCGAAAAACCATGTAATCACTACTCCCCCGAAACTATAGACCGTAGAGACACCAAACCTTCACTAATGTCTTAAGGGTCTTTAGACCTAACTTCACTGTATAAGTGCAAAAGGATCTGATGACCCCTTATATGAGTTATTGCCCTTTAACTTCTTTGTACTTACTATTAAACCTTGTATCTTGAAAACTATAAGTCGTAGAAGCATTGGGTCAATTGCATTGTGACCCTTGACCCTTGACCTTGATTATTATGTCAAGGTCAAAGGTCAAGATAATTCCAAAAATGAGAAATTAAGCTCTTTTTATATATCTTTTGTCTTTTAACATATGCAATCAGTCTTTGCATCATTGATATGCACTCTCAAAACTATTTCAAAGATTTCATTCTTGTTCCCCAAGATTGACCCTATCAAAAGTTATTGCCCCTTGTGCGAAAAACCTTTTTATTGGCACTCCTTCAAAACCATAGACTGTAAAGACACGAAATCTTCATTAATGTCTTGAGGGTCATTAGGCGCACCTCTATTATATACGTTCGAAAGGATCTGATGACCCTTTATATGAATTATTGCCCTTTAACTTCTTTGCGCATAATATTAAACCTAATAACTTTAGAACTAAAAAGTGTAGATGCATGGGGTTAATTGCAATGTGACCCTTGACCTTTGACCTTGAATATCTTATCAAGATCAAAGGTCAAGGTCATTTCAAAAAAAAAAATTCATTTTCATTTTCTTTTTTTTAAGCCATTTCCCTCAAAATTAAATTAGAGAGTAAAATATAAAACTATAAGAAATTAAAAAAAGGTGGAAAGACCTCTTATTGTTCTGTGAACAATAAGTCTCCTAGTTAGGTCTTTCCACCTTTCTGTGGAAAGACCTATTGATTTTCTTCTGTTTCTTTTTTTTATTATTTTTAATTATTTTTCCGCCGTGTGATTTTGAGTTTCAAGATTTATCGAAAAGATTTTTAGTTCATAAGAATGTACTTCATAAAAGATTTTCGCAGTTGACCCTGCGTATATGAACTTTGATCCTTTTCGGAGTTATTACCCCTTTCGCAAGAAAGCTTGTTATCGCTACTCCTCCGAAACCATAAACCGTAGAGAAATGAAACCTTCACTATTGTCTTTGACTAATTTAGTAGACACTCCAATGATTCATTGCGAAAGTATTCATTGACCCCTTCAGTGAGTTATTGCCCCTGAAACTTTTTGAA